CTGAGCATCGAGCGCTCTTGTCCCTTGGTTTGTTGGTCTCACTGGACTCATTTGGTGTGTATTGTGCTTTGTGTTTATGGATGGGTGCTTCAGAAGCCATCAAGGTGATTTGGAGACAGGCTGTTTCTAATGAATGCTCACAAGAATTGAGCAACTAAATCTGTTGGGCATCTTTGGGAATAACTAGACTGCGCAAGCGTGGTTGCACCGAGGCATTGTAAGCTGACACCAGGCTGGTGTGAAACCAAGCTGTAGTCTGTAAAGCAGAGGTAAGGAGGTCCCTGAATTGTTTTCTCAACAGTTTGCACACAAAATGAGGTTCACGTGTAAGTCTAAGGGTTGCAGGATTTGGTTTGCTTTAAGCCACCAGTTCTGCAGCCTCCTCAGGGGGTTTGAAAACCCAGCCCAGGTTCTGGCTGTTACCTTACCGCTGGTGTTAGCGATGTTCAGGCTGGAGAGTAGCTGAGTCCTTACTCCAGGTGGCCCTTCCTCCCCTGCTGTGTTCAAGCACTGTCAACAGAGTGGCATGAAAGCAATTAGCAGACGTTAGCTTTGAACCAGGGCCGCAACAGGGAGAGGAAAAAAAAAAGCTTTAAACACGGATTGTCCCAGCGTTTGAGGAGAGGGAATGAGAGAAGTGCAGAAGGCATGCGGGGCTGTGGGATTATTACAAAGATGGGGTTTGGCCCTTCACCGCCATAAAATTCAGCGAGCAAAACTGCAGATATTAGATGTGCTGGCGCTGAATCCTGCATTCGCCCCCATCCATGGGCTGCGAAACCCACGCAGAACTGAGTGGGGTTATAGCTGCTCGTGCCTGAGGGGCATTGCCGCCACAGGGCAGGCACTGTGAGAAAGGGCTCTTTTCATATAATCGCTGCTTTTCAAACTCTGAGGATTACATGAGGTCTACACTAATTTTTTTCTACCAGAAGCTCTGCTCTGAGACCCCTTTTGTCTAAGGCAAGCACAAGAACATGGTCGCGTGTTCTCGGAGCTGAGGTTTTCTCCAGTAAATTACTGCACAGTGTATTTTTAACAGCTGAGTTTATTTTGGACTGCTTTATTTCTCTGGACTTGCTTTACTTCAAATACTAGGACAATTTTAAAATAACCCCACAACAAACTTCCATCACTTGTTTTCTTTTATGCACAAATAATCGGCTCAAGGCAGGTAAAACACGCAGAGAAGAGCAGTTCAGGGAGAGACAAGTACAAGAGCAGATGCCCTTTCCCACTGCTGACATCTGTAGGTTTTATTTTTACTGCAGGACTGGCAGGGCTTCGGTCGCCTGAGCACAGATATCCCAGGGGACTGGGTAAAGGTGGCAGTAAGAAATGCTGCAGTCAACATTTTGGTAATTGTGCTGCTTTTAGAAAAGAAATAATGATGGACAGGGAAAAGAGCTGCCGATGCTTCTCCAAGTCTTCGTCTAAGTTCTTGATAATGTGCGGAATTACATAGGTGCTTACAGGTGATACTTTGACAAGGACTGATTTTTAGGCTGTGAATAAGATTATTTAATAACAGGCAAAAAAATAATGCATATGTTCAAGTGTTTGATTTAGGACTATTGCTGGTATCCTTGCTGATGCTCGGCATGTTCAACTTTCACATTGATTACTCACATAAGGAAAATCTACATTTTTCTCCGTTATACCTTCACGGCAAACAGTTCTGCATAAGAAGGCTTTTAAAGGCAGGCTGAGAACCTACGACACAAGAGGAATATTGCAAGGGAGCCGGAGGGGAGGCAGGTGGCAGAGGGGGAGGTTTGGGGCAGCACGAAGCCCTGCGAGGGAGCGGGATACGAGGGGCAGACAGGCGGAGGGCGAAGCTGAGCTCCAGGAGGCTCCTTCATCCCCCGCGGCTGTGCGCAAAGCTGGTGAAAGATTCCCTTTCATCTGAGGAAGGAGATCTTCCTGCGCCAGCCTCAAATCGAGCTACTGTAAAAACTTTTTAGACTGCAAAAGAAATTATTTATGTTTGTTACTTAGTGGAAGCTTTCTCAACACCCCAAAAGGAGTTAAGCTTTATACATATTTTATGTTTAATCACATCTTTAGTGACACCCAACCACAACCAAAGGCTTAAATTTCAATTAGAGGGAGATGTATTAAATGTTTAATAGGAATCATTCCTTACAGGGTAATTATATCTTAACATTCACTGGAGAGATGTTACGTTGGCAACATAATGTTGATCTGAACAGGGATGATTTTTTTTTTTCTTTTTGGATAACATCCAAATGAGAAACAGGAGGATGATCTGGACCATTGGTACTCGACACGCTGCCCCTGCGCGGCTCAGCCACGGGCCTGGATCTGGGAAAAAATGAAATTGCATTCATGCCTAGCTTTGAACATTGATTTTTGAATCTCGGTGTGAGAAATGTTGTCCCACATGTGCTGAAAAGCATCAGGCTGCACCTACTTTTTACTTCAGTTTTTAAAACCGGAAACTGAGTACTCGGTATTTCAGCTGTAATTAATGTGGGAGGATGAACCTTCAAGACAGATGATCTGTCAAGGATATCTTAAAAGTACCGGCTATGGATTGTAATGCATTTACCAATTTTTAACAAGTTTGGTATGCATACAAAAAATTTTCTCAGAATATTTAGATTATTGCAAAAATAATCAGTGTTATGCATTCACAACAAGCAAATTAAAGCCATGAAGTGAATTTGGAACCCAGGCAGTTAAAATCAAAGGATGTTAAAATCAAATATTTAATGAGAACAGGGAAATGGGATTTTGAGAAAAGCTTCCAAAGCTGTAGAAAAAGAAAGAAGAAAACACACAAAAAACCCCCAGAATTCATTTCTCATTTAAAATAATTGCATTGAGGTAAATAAAGATGAAGAATAGCCAAGCCCCCTACAGAAATCTGGTTATGACCAGGCAGGACCGTCAGCCTCACCGTGGCTGTATCCCCTCCGCTTTAGCACGAGCTGCTGGAGCAGGAACCACTTGGCGCAGACCCATTGGCCCCACGCAGGTTTCCCTCTCCTCCCGCCCTCGCTCCGCTTTCTGGAGGCTGCGGCGCGGAGCAGACGGAGTTTCTCCTCCAGCTCCCCTCCCCGCGGTGAGGGGCGGCCAGAGGACCTGGCGTGGCAGAAGGCAGATGAGCTGCTGGCTCTCCTGGGGCGGCGTCTGCATGCACGGGGTGCGCGGGGGGCAGGTAATCACAGGGCCGTCGGTTCCGGGCGCCAGTCGCGCTCGGGCATGGCTGTGGAAGCTCAAAGGGCTGCTGGGCCACGTAGCGCTGCGGGCAGCTGCAGGGCTTAGCAGTCTGGTTGCGTTGTCTGTTTCTACGTGTTATTTCCTCAAACTGGTTTTGACTTGGGAGCTGGAAACGCTGCTGACAATCACAATGAAACAAAGCGCTCGTCATTGCAGCAGAAACTAATGAGCAAACAGAAGGCGTCAAAGCACCAGGAGCTATTGCAGCTCCGGGCTCTCGGGACTGCCTGCAGAGCTGAGCGGGCAGTGCCTGGAGCCACCATCTCCCAGCTCACCTGGCAATAAAATCCTGGAGCTTTGCTGATGAAACATCGCTGCCGTAAGACAGAAATGGACAGCAAGAGCCAGCAAGCTATACCGACACCTTAGAGCCAACTGAGACAAAACAGAGTAATCAAAAATCTGATGTTCTTGGCTATTATTTTTTTATTGTTTTGCTTGGCTTTGGTGGGGTTTTTTTTGCTTTTGTGGTGGCCCCAAGTACGTACATCCTGACAAGAAAGGGTGCAGCTCCTAATCTGGTGAGCACACACTGTGCAACAGCAGAGAGAAGACCTGTTTGAGTTTGGAGTCTTTCAGGCTCCAGAATTGCCGTGGGTCAGCTCCTCTGCAGGAGAG